TTTTTTTTTTTTCCTATCTTATGTACAAATTTATGATTTTATGATTTTTTTCTTTTACATATAATTCTATTCAATCTAGTAACCTAGTATTTTAAGGCAAAATTTGCATTTTTAGTTCTGCTGGTTTAACGCCGAAGTGTTTTTAGTTCCAAGATTTTGACTTTTTGTCTTTTAATCCTGTAATTTTAAATTTTGTTGCATTTTCGGTCTCAAAGGACTTAAATTGCGTTAAATTTTAAAATCAAATAGCAAAATGTTCGATTCTTAAGACTAAAACCGCCACTGGATCAAACCAACATGACTAAAATTGCAATTCTTCCGAATTTTAATTGCTACTATATATTAGGGGCTGGCTACGGTGCCGTGCAGTCACCATTCCGTTAATTTAATTTTAGCCATTAGATCTTGTAAAATTGAAAGGGACCTTTAGATTTGGTAAAGACCTACTAAACTGTTGTGAGTATTTTTACCGGAGTAGAATCGAAAGATTCGTTCCCCGGGTCGTATCGCAAGAAAAGTTAGCTGGATTCAATCGTACGATTATTCGATGACGAAAAAGAGAAGACATGATCCTAAACACTTCTAATTCAATGGTTTTTGGTTTCAACTATAGCTAATGAATTTAAACAAGTGCAAAGCAATTTAAATGGCAAACTAATTCACTCAATTATTAAAGAGCTAGGGAATCGGGGATAATTGCTTTCGGTTCTAACACAATTACCGGGCAATCAATTGTTCGGTTAAAGGAATTGAATCGTTTCTCGTTCTGAGGTTCACTCTCAATAACTCTTCGTAACAAGAGAGTGAATGTAAACGATCAACTATCAGTTCCAACAACACATAGACAATACGTTACCGAACAAGTCTATCCTTAACGAGCTTAATTAAATCGACCAACGTCTCTCCTCTCAGTTCTACACGTTAATTAACTAGGTTAGAATGGTGATCAGTCAACTAACCCTAGAATTTGCACAACTCGAACAGACATGAACAATCAAAAGCAAGCAATCATAAAACAAACCTAATCAATTATCCCCTATCTCTAGTGTGTGGATTTAGCTACTCATAGCAGATGTAACATCACAAATTTCATTAACCCAAGCCATCAGCATCAATAGAGAAGAAAAGGAACTTACGATTAATATAAAATCCCGATGTTAAATCCAAAAGCATCCAAATCCAAAGCGAGAAATAGTAGTTTTTTAATCTCCAAAACAAATCCAAAGTGCAAAAGCAATAAAAGGAATGAGTTCTATCGAGATAAAAACGTAAAAACAAAGTCTGGAAGTCAATATATGATCCCTAGGTCTCAATACTGATGTAAAAATTCGCGCCTCGAAATTCGCGTCGGTCAAGTCGCGAGTCGCGACTTAACGTTTTCAGAGGTCGCGAGTCGCGACATCTCGCGAGTCGCGTGTCGTAAAAAATCTTTCATTTCTGGGGAAAGTCGCGACCTAACTCGCGAGTCGCGACTCTATCTCGCGAGTCGCGACTTTGACTCGCGAGTCGCGATTGGTGCTCGCGAACTTCGTCTTCTGGGTCAGTAAATCTCGCGAGTCGCGAAAAATGCTGGGCGCGTTTTCAGTCCGTTTTTTCGGTCTTTTCTTCAGCTTTCTGGGCTCGGCAGCGGGTATACTCGATATCACAGTCTCGACTCAAGCAGTCTCATCCTCGACCGGCACAACCTACCTCCTGAAAACACAAATACGAAAGAAAACACAAAGCAAAACATGGCAAAAAGATGCACAAATAGAAACTAAAGAGAAAAAAAACAAAACCACATAATTGGACCAAATAAGCTACGAAAATCCTATAAGTGGGGAAAACAAAAAGAAAATAAACTCAAAATAAAGACACAAAAATGGGACAAAACAAACCAAAGTGATGTGACAAGTGTTTATTAGTTCCGCTAAAATGCACAACGAGACTTAAGAATATTCCCTATATATTAATGTGGTCGTATATATTTAATTTGTAGGTTGATGAACTGCTGGCAACTGGAGTTAGTGTCACTATATATGCTCCTCAAGTAAGTCATTATAATCTTTGTGATCTGAGTTCTAAGAGACTCGTTAATTTCTCATTATGTATTTATTAATTAGCATTTAAATATTTTACGAAGTCTTATATAAAATTAAATATTGATAAATGAAAAAAGATTATTACTTTATTATTTGATGGTGATTTTAATTGTAGTTGGACGTGCTTTCCTCACCCAAAGGAACTGAGGCATGGCTTGTAAAGCTCAAGTAAGATTGTTGGTTTCCATATCTTTTATTTTGTTAATTCAATTTCATAGTTAATAAAAAAAAATGTAAATTCATTTATACTTTTCTGGGATTTTCTTTAATTTGATGATTAATATAAATTTTTGTATTGTATGTATGGGTTTTTATAATATTTTTTTTTCGATATTTCGTAATTAATATTTCCTATTTTCTTTCAATTGTAATTAATTACTAAAATATTGGAAAATTAATTATATCTTGAAAAAACAAAGCTTATTTAATGAAAAAAAATAAATATTATGGTTTATTATAAATTAGTTTTAACTTTAATACTAATTAATATTCCATCTGTAAAAATAGGTGGCCAGGGCTTAAACCATTCTTAAGGACGGAAAGAAGTACAATATATTGTGATCATGAGGATGATCATCATAATAATAATAAAAGGACAGGGGGCTTCGTTAAATCCTACCTGAATTTGAATTTCTATTGCATTTTTGATGCTGGTCACTTTGTAAGTTCATATATATCTTAATTTCAACCATTATATATTAACACATATGGGAAATACTAATGTCCCGATACAGAACCATTTCGTCGGGAGATTTGTAGCCGTTAGATAATCATGTAACTGTCAGAGATAGTTGATGATCTAACAGTTACAAATCTCGACGGGTGGTTCTATAACGGGACCGTAGCATCTTCTTAATAGATACTAGTATTCTACCCTGTGCAGTTGCACAAATGTAAATATAGTATTGTGAGTTATTTGTTTGCATATAATGATTAATTATTTTTTTTTCACATTTTTACTGGCCAAATTTACAATTAAAGGAGTTGGAATATTTTTTTTTAAAATTGCGTTTATCTGATGGATGTAATGTATATTTTGGTACCTCTTTTTTTGTGTGATGAATTATTTATTATTTATTTAAGAATTTCAAATACGTTTTTTATTTAAAAAAAATTAATTTAAATATAACCACAATAATAACATCTAATCGCATTACACGGTCAACAGATTATATGGTCAATTGTCAGTAATCAAAAATTTAAAATGATTTTTATAATATTGAAGTGATTAGTGTTGATTATTTAATAATTAAATAAAAAATTAAATGTATCAAAAGTGACGATTTTTGGAAGGAAAAAAAGTTAAGTTGACACATAGACAAAATTAAATATATTTTATTAAATGCTATATAAATTAATTGCATTATATATAATTTTGTTCTAACTTTAATTTTTTGGTATGATTCTCAGGTACCTATGGATCAGCCGTGTGTAGCTCTAAACATGATAGCCAACATAATTAATCAGTCATCTCAAGCTCCTTAAAGATTTATGTGTAAAGGTGTCTTGTATTACTCACGGTTGTCATAAAAGATTGATAAAAAGAGAAAGAGAATGTAAATCTTTCTTTTTTATTTTCCTTCTTGCATAGAACATCAAGATGTCTTTCTCGGAATTTCTTGCCAAAATAAAGTCTTACAATTTAATTTTAATTTTTTTTGGTTTTTTAAATTCCATTTTAATTTGTTATTAGTACAAATCCCGTGCGATGCACGGGGTACACAAAATTAAGGTCATTTATCCAGTCTTATAATTATATAAATGAATAAAGAAAAATTTACTGAATATATATAGTATGTGACCTGTAATAGGCCAAAATGTGAACACGGATGATGCACGGGGCACACAATTTTAAGGTCATTTATTAATACAGAGTCCGTGCGATGCACGGGGTGCACAATTTTCTAGTATGTGTAATACAAATGCATACCGTATGCACGAGACATAAGCACTAAATGAGTTATTTACACGGAGCTTGCCCGTTAAGTAGCTCCTGAACACAGGTGCACAATTTGTTGTACGTACCATAAAATCAGAACAGATTTCCATACAATTAGATAATAAATTAGATAATAAATAAAGCCTTTTTTATTTTAGTAAAGATTTTACGTACTTTTTTTTACTTATCGGATGTTATGAGATTTTTTTTGTTAAACCGATTTTATGAGATATAATACAAATACAATTAAAGGATTGAACAAAATCAGAACATATTTCTATACAAATAGATAATAAGGAGTTAGATAAGGAAAATAAGAAATTAGATAAGAAATTTTGAATCTGTTTTTTTTTTTTTTAGCATATATAGACTTTACGTACAAATTTTTACTTCACCGGTTTTATAGGATTTGTTTGACAAAATCAAAGACGAACACTGAAAACTATTTCTATTAACATTTATAATGTGTATTTATTTTTATTTTTATTTTTGGAAAAATATTCTTCCTAAGTGTGATATATAAATATTAAAAATACTTAAAATATTTTATAACATCTATAAAAGCATCTAAAATATTCTATATTATTTGCAAATAATGTTTGAAGCTACCTAAATTTTTGTGAACTACCCATAAGGAAAACATATCTAAAAATTCTTCATTTAAACTAAATCCAATTTCTTATGGAGATTTAAACTAAATTCAATTTTGTAGGATGCATTAAATATTGATTAGATATTATATGTAAAATAAAATAAAAAATAACTAGAATAGTTTTACGTGTTGTAATAATTTATATTAAAAAAAATTAAAAAATCTTCTTTTACATGTTGCATACCAACATTTTAGGAACTACATGAATATTCCTTAATTAATAATGCATACCTAATATTTTAGGAACTAATTAAATACTAATTTGATGTGCATACCTAAAATATTAGATGCATTAATTAAATACTTGATAAAATTAGAAATTCATTAATTAAGTTTGACCTTTCTAACTATAAATAGGATTCCCTTTAATATAAGTATAGAATCACATTTCAATTCCGAGTATAAGAGATTTGATGTACTAAAATATAAATAAATAATCTATTCATACTCTATAAATGATGGAAATTACAAAGGTATAATTTCTAAAATTTGAAATGAATTACATTTATATCCAGCTCCAAGCCGTTCTCCTAAAATTAACCAAATGACATGTACCTCCATATATAATCTATATGTAGAAACAAAAAGTTATGATTACTTTTAATATAGTAATTGTTTCCCTAAAAAAAAAAATATTTATTATATCTGAAATTTAATTAATTAATTAAAAAATTTATTTATTATATCTGGAATTTAATTAATTAATTTATGATATGAAGTTGCAAAATTAATTAATCTAATTTTGGTATAAAGAGAGAGATTTCATTTAAGGTATGTGAAATGTGTTGTTTTTAATAAATACAATTTTGATAAAAAGTGGACGACTTTGTGGTATAAATCCAGTCGACTATAATTAATTTTATTTACTGGATATTTTGAATTGTATTTGGTATAATGGGCTACTATAAATAGTTATTTTGATGGTGATTTCACTGGAATTGAGGTATTTGATGACAGTTTTAATTAAGTATAAAGTGGGCCATTTTAATATATCTTGTTTGATATGGGATAACAGAACTAGATCGAGTAAACCCGAGAAGCAATGTGATCGAACCAGATGGATTAAGAGGTCCAATGGAGATCAATAGCGTTATAGGTCGAACGATAATCGTGGAAGTCGAAGAGTACCGACAGGTTGAAATAGGGCCCTCGGATGGCCTGATAGAAGTTCGACTGAAGGTAAGAAGAGTCGAAGGGCGATCAGATGAGTAGGGCGTTCAAGCTCTACACCTTCAAATAATCTACCTCATGATAATAAGGGTCGATCGTACCATTAGACCGTCTAACAAAGAGGACAAAAGGATAAGGTGAAATATTGTGGGGATAAGACTGTTGGAACACGCCGATGAGGTCGGTCCATTCCACTGATCGATATTGGATATCAAACCCGTACATACATGAATTTGAATCACCGTAGACATTCTCCAAATGTATGAAAAGAGAGATACCTTAAAACGGAGGCTTTGATTTGTCAAAGGCAATCTTCTAGTCTGTATTCGACCATGTTTGGACGTCGGATGGACGAGGATCTTCCAAACGGTTACAAGAAGTGGACTGCTCTCGTCTTTCTCGAACCCTTCTCGTCACTCTATCCACGATGGTGGCTAAAGTGTCTCACGAATGCTTAGGGTTCAAGAATGTGGGCAGTGACCGCAAGTCGTTACACGACGAATTTAAATTTATAAATTACCTTGACTAACCATTACTAACTAGTAGTAGCGGCGAGTATGGGTCGATCCCACGAGGAGCAGGAATTAAATCATGAAAATTTTTGTATTAATTGAACTAAACTAAGAAAGAAATAAAGAGGGGGGATTGGTTTGTAAAACTAAAGTAAGAAAATAAAAATGAAAAATCAAATAAATAAGAGAAGTCCAGTTTTTGGTTCAGTTTTCACTCAATCTAAACTTACCGTTAATTAATTTTGACGCTTTCTTTAAGTTGCTAATGAATTACCAACCCTAGCTAACAACAAGCTCTGTTAACCGAATTTTTCATTACCGATTATTTAATCAAAATAGGCTCTTCACTAAACCTAACTAGCGGACAACCTAGAATAAGCTCTCTAGAATTAATACACTAGCAGCATTAATTACTACACAAATAGATTGATCTAAGCAATGGACTTTTGTTATGTTTTTATGCTCATTTTTATGTTTTTATGTGCGTTATTGAGTCGGTTTTAGGTTCGTTTTGGTGTCGACTTGTCCATTTTATCGTTTTCCGTGTATTTTTATGTCTTTTTTTTTTTTTT